TTATATCAAAGCAAACAAGAGATTTAATGAATTATTTACAGATACAAACACAAGTCACATTTTCTTGTCGGTATATCACTATAATTTTGTGATATTGTTAAACATTGTCTTTCCGAGCTTTTAGGAGTTTCATTTCATGGTTTTATTCGAGTAAAAATGAAAATAATATGCAATATTTTAATGTTCTTTTTATTCGCAATTTAAGATTATTATCTATAAGATTATAGAAGCTTATTTTATTTTGGTCTCTTACGAGTATTACCGATTTTTGAGAATTGCTTGTTTGCATTCCTTATTCGCAATCGAGAATTTTGCTTAAATTATGCATAACATTGACGCGGCATATTTAGCATGTTGTAATTTAGTGGATTATATGGCACTGTAGAATGTATAAAATATCTACTTAGACTGGGAACCGAAACCGCTACTTCACGAGTTTTAGAACACCACTTTGACACTGAGCCATTCTTTCGACATTCAAATACACCTCTTAAAACAATACATTTTATATTAACGTAACTTTAAAGCAAAATCACGTTTACCAAAGTTAATGTCAGTTCTGTTTTACTGGCAGGAATCACGAAAGTCTTTTTCCTCTGTACTGTAACTATTTAGCTCTCAACGGTCATTCAAGTATTTAATACGCTCTCCAATAAAATAAAGTTAATTATAGTTCGATCTACAGAACGTAGTTTCGAAATTAACGTTAGATAGCGCTGTCGGCAAGCAGGGATGTCCAGCGCCATCAACCTCTCGGGCCAAGGCATTTTCGACGCGTAATTTTATGTTTCCAAGAGTGTACCGTCAGGAAATCTTTTATGTGAAAAATTTATGTCTAAGTCAACTAACACCGCTTTGTGGTAGTTTATGCCATCAATGACATCGCAAGACAAGAAAAGCTCTTGCGGCCTAATTAAGTAAACATCTAAAAGCGCCTCCTGTCGCGTCGGTCTATCTACTACCTGTTCAACTAATCCCCCTTCCCAAACGAGTCTGTTCACGGACTGTTGTACTTTCACTTCGCTCACAGCACCTTTCCAATTTGCGTCTATTAAGCATATAATGTACCAATATTGTTAAAATTTATGTAGTTGCTACCAGAATTGATATAATGTATTATTTTAATATTATCATTTTTATTTTTATTATTATTATTATTATTATTATTATTATTATTATTATTATTATTATTATTATAAGAAGCAGCAGAAAAGTGACTATAACAAGTAAATTTTACTTTTATTTTAAACATGAAACTAAAAATCTTGAACTGTTAAATTATTTGCTATTAAAAATAATTATCTACTATATAATATCCTAATCTATATGTAGCACGTATCGTAGTATAATTTCTAAGCCAATAACCCCATCTCGACCAGGTTTATTGTTCAGTTTCGTTGGTCCCTTTGTTGCTCCTGAACAGTAATGTAACTTCGCTCTCTCCACCCAAGACATCATATTGTCTCGTCATACGCGATTGTAATTCTATATGTTACTCAATAAATATTATTATTATTATTATATAACTGGCTATATATATGTATATATAGCCAGTTATATATATATATATATATATATATATATATATATATATATATATGGCTTTATTGGGCTATTACTGGCTTTATTGAACGGATTTATTACTTCCTAACAGATGGTTATCGTCTTTTTTCCCTCCTTGCATATAACACAATACAGTTTACCAGTACAATCCTTGATTCCATGTCCGGTTTTGACACACCTGTAACATGCTTTACTTCGATCAGGACCTGTGCAAGCAGTTGAGATGTGTCCATAGCCTAAGCATCGATAACATCTTCATAGCTGGGGCTTTACTCTGACTCGACAGTTCACCCAGCCGATTTTAATTTTTCCTGTCGCTATGAGCTTTAGGACTACCTTTTCGCCCAGTAGCATTGTGGCCGTTTGCATTCCTCCATATCCTCTATGTAACCTACAGGAGTCGGAGATCTGGTCTGCCGTTACCTCTATTGTCTTGCTCACCGCTTCCAGTACCTCTTCCATCGTGACAGTTTCGTCAATATCCTTCATTTCTACTAGGCGATTCCGCGTAAGGGCATTCACTTTCGCTAGATCCCCCGCCGCCTTCTCCGGAGCCTCGTTCAACGCGTCAATATTGCCAGTTTTATCTTGTACAAGGAGCTCATCCGCCTCTCGGGTCCTCTTTACAGCCAGTATCTTCGTATCGTAATCATTAGGGTCCACGGCATTCATCCTCTTTATGAGGTCTGCGTAGTATGTTTCACCGTACCACTGTACTTGTGGTACCACTGGTTGTGGACCACTGGTACTTGTACTTATGAGCCCACTGAAGAGTACTCGTGGGAATAAATTTAGTCTGAAAGTTGACATAGAAAGCGGTTTTTTTTTGCCAAAATTAGTGTGTAATCCTGGTAGAGATTCCATAAGCTTCCATTCCATTAGAAAAAATGGAAATGTTTGTTTGCATGTATCGTTTTTTGATGTGTATGAGGTATGATTTCTGTAATAGGATATCATCATGTATGACAGATGTTTAGACATTAACTTTTATTACGATGTATTTATTGTATCGCTAGACACCTGAAGGTTGCACACAATTCATCATGAAGTCTGTTCCAATGTCGAATGTAAAAATGAAATGGGTGGATCATTTGAACAGTGTTTGGGCAGGAGAAAGTTGTGATAATGTGTGTACTAGGTATGGTGTATTTTTATTATATGAACGCCTAGTGGCAAATAAAGAGGATATGATTTAACCTACAACAAGTTCAGTGTTAATCAAAATCCAGTCCTACCAGATTTTGAGTGTGAAACGAATCTCCTTCAGTTGGTGAATTGGAACATCATGTCACAGCTCTTCTTAATTCACAATTTGAACTAGCAAGAAGTGTTTGTGCAGAATCACCATTTTCAGTTGTCCTGAGGCAAAGGTTATTAGTTTTATGGAGAATATTTCATTCCGTATCGACCAAATACCATGACAAGGAGAAGGTTAGTGAAGTATATCTTTTTCTTCATTTTTTAATTTTTTTGACATTCTTTTAATCAAATCGTGTACTGATTTTCTTAGTACTCTTTGGCACAGGTAAAATCTCAATCAAGGACTCATGACAACGAAACCAGAAGTGAGAGCAATGAAAGTTCAGTGACAGAAGTTGTTCTTCATCTCAGGCATTGATTGAGATGGGAGTTAAAACAGGACTGTCTTCTGTTTACATTATTATGTCAGAGTTGGCACAATACTGCTTTAACTGGTAATCTTGAAATATGTTTTGTTATTTATGAAGTATTAAAATTAATAAATTTTATATTAATGTATTATATTTCTAGGGAGCATTAACCTCTACAATGAAGTGTTAACAACAGCTGTTGTTAGAAATTTACCTCCATTGGCTTTGGCCAATGAGAGTCAGATTACGCCTCTTGGTGCTCAAGGTTACTAAATTTTTGAGACAGGCTGCTTTACCATCATCTGGTGCTGATACTACTGGTAAATCATTTTATTAAAATAATGCTTGTAGGTGCATCAGTTTGCTTTCTTCTACATACTTGACGATTGCACCAGGCAACTAATATTCAACTCAACTTGTGTTCCTTTATTTATTGAACCATATGATACTGTAATATAATAATATATCGTATAATACTGTCTTTATTTAAATGTATTAAGATGTTTCTTTTCTTGTTTATCTTGTAATGACAGTAACTCTTTATTGAGATTCAAACATTTTACTTCTGCTAGTACTTGTAAAGGTAATGAGATTGTAAAGAGTTGAAAAATAATTTCTGTTGCAGAACTTCATTTTGATTACTTTTATCTCCTATTTATTAAGGGTTCTATTCATGGTGCAATATTTAGTGTGTTGAACTTAAGTATTGTAAATTAGAAACTTCAGTCCTTTGCAATCTATATTTTGTATTTCACTGCAGCTGTAAAATAGTGAGCTGTGAAAAGCTCTATTACACTTGGAAAAGCAAAATATGTATTAGAAGCAGAAATCTTGGGTTAATGCCTGTATTTTTTCCTTCAGATATAACACAGCCAAAGCAAATTGTAGGATAAATTTTATGTATTGTACATTGTGTTTTTATCAAGAAGTTTAATGGACTTTATAAAGCTCATATATTATCTTTATATTCAAGTTCGTTAGAAACTGTAAATAACAATCTTAGTATTAATATTATGAATTTTAATGCTTCAGGTATTGTCACTCTCACATTAAATGGGTTTAAACTATTTATTTTATACATATTTAAATTGATTAGTAAAAGTTATGACTGAGGTGTTGTGTTCATTATTGTTTTTTGCAGGGCAACTGTTTGCTTCAGAGTTATTTTAGCATTGGCTCTTCAACGTGGATCCCTCAGTCATCTTCTTGATTGGATTGACATGGCTCTTTGTGCATCTGCATCTAATCCTACAGCTACTATCACAAGCTACAGTTTTTGTTGAAGCTATCTCTCTAATGCATTCATCTGTTGCTGGTACTGCAGGGGTGATTTCTTCTGTTCAAAAACCTGCTGCTCATGAGAGAGGCCATGTAATTCTTTATCAAGCTGCTATGTACCTTATGGAAGAGGTATGCAATTACTGGAATAACTATTATTTTGAATCTTTTTATTGTCTTGATTTTGAGAAATGTTTAAAGAGTAGAAAAAGGCCAATAATAGATAAAGTCAGAGGAGGGTCCTCTCATTTTACTGCCATGCTGTTGTGATACCTTAGTCCGACCGTGAGGACTGGAGTGGTGGAAATCTCTGGTTACTAGGGACATTACATATGAGTGATGTCATAAAAACAGAGAATTCATATTATGCATTGTTTAATGGTTTTCTTAGTTTAAACTTTATGTGATATGAAATTTTTTTTCTACAACATTTGTTCCTCTGCATTGTGAACTGGAGTAGGCAAAAATAGATGTAAAATTTAAAAAAGTGATGCAGGGATTCATAATTTGTCAATGCATTTTTGTTTGTTGCCATAAAGAGTTTGATTAACGATGTGCAGATTTTTTTCTCAGTATGGAGTGGTAGATCCGATAGCTTGGGAAACCTGTAATGTATGATCAGCAAAATAGTGTCCTGGAATGCTTTGATGTTTTGTTGTGTGTGTTGTCTTTTTGTTTTATATAGCTTTAACTTTATTATTGATCATATGTGAACAAAAAAAAGAACAGTTACAGTATACCAGATCCAAGATACTGTAACAAGCTCCCCTGTTACAGTATCATGGATCTGGCATACTGCAACTGTTCTTTTTTTTTTCTGTTAATGATATTTTTGTTCTTGAGCTTGCTGTCAACATAGAAAAATCAGAACTATCATAATAATTTTTTTCTGTTTGTTTTTTCAATATTTCATATTGAATTTCATCAAATGAATATTGATATTCATTTTTTATATTCTTCAATTTTAAAATTTTTTAAAAAATTATTGTCTCCAATTGATGCAACCCATCTCCAAGCCCCTTGGGGGCGTTGAGCCCTTTGCACTTTTGGAGTAATCCTCCATTAATATTTCAATTTGCTATATCCGTCACATCTCGTCGCAGTCAGTTGTCAAGAGGACCACCAAATAGTATCTCCATGTAGATGTCTCCTACAACACGCCCCTGCGTCACTACTTAGCGTCCAGAATTGGGAAGGTATTAGGATTTGGGTAGGATTTAGAATGCAGGGTTTGGACTAGCCCTTGTGAAGCAGTCAAACTGGTTTTGTGGAAACAAATTTCAGATGAATTTGTCTGGGATTCAACAGGAATCGAAACTGGGCCTCCTGGGTGAAAGGCGAACGATTACGATCTGAGCCACAAGATGATTTTAAAATTGAATTTACGCATAAAATAGTTTTATTTTTGTACAGAATTTGTTTACACATTTAATACATTATTTAAACAATTTGAAATGAAATATCAATGAAAGAAAAATACATTACACTCTTGTCTATTTGAATGACAATGGATACTTTTTGATGTCATTCTTTTAAACTAAGTACTGTGATTATATTACGGGTTTGATTTCAGCTTGTACTTCTTGCTTGTGACTACACACATTCATGTCTTGGCGTGGACAAGAGAGACTCTCCCTCATGTAGTGGAAATATAGCTGCAGATAAATGCGATGTGTATGTGTGTGGCAGCAATTCTTCACACCAAGTTGCTGAAAGAAAGTCAAGAGAAGATCCTTGTCCTTGAAGAAGGACTTGCACGAGCCTTTACACAAGTTCAGCAGGTATGTTCATTATTAAGACTGTTAGCATTATGCCTTTTTTATTAACATTACTATTTGAAGTAAATTCAATTTTTTATTTAACAATATTCCTTGACAGGAATTGTTGAATAATTAGTTGAAGTTGAATAATTAGAATTTACACTGAAAATACATTATTTTCATAAGTAATATAAAATTGAATACAGTCTTAAATTGTATTTTCTCAAAAGAACAGGTCACTTTAAAATTTTAGACTGTAGATACTTTGATTTATTTATTATCAAGAATCAGATCTTTCAAAAAAATGTGTTACTTTCAATACATCTTGAAATTAGAGGTTCTTGATTTGAAAGAAAATATAATTTAATTGTTTTGGCAGCAACATGTGACTGGTATTGATTATCATATATTCTTTTTTGCTCTCTCATTTCGTTTTAGTTTTCATCTTTTGCATGTGAGGGACTCGTAGAGGGACTTTTTCTTTTGAAGATCTTTCTCTTTTCTTCGTGTGAATATCATAATTAATGTGTATGCAAGCTTTGAATCCATGGGGTCATGTTTTGGTTAATCAAATCATAATCTCCCATTAGTTTTGGGTTAATTTATTTGCACATCTTGAAATAATGATGATTGTAATTGAATTTGAAAATTACTTTTGAGAGACCTGAAGTAGGGAGTGTTTTGAACCCGTCTTTTTTATTTTTTTTAGGTTGAAGCAGGACAATACTGCTCCTTTATCATCCACACGAATGGGACATTGAGTGCTTGTGGGAAAGGAAGTTACGGTCGACTTGGTTTAGGAGATTCAAATAATCAACAGCAGCCTAAACGTGTGGCTATTGATGGAGTTGTTCGCAAAATATCTTCATCAAAGGGCAGTGATGGACATACCTTGGCCCTTACAGATGATGGAAACAGTTGGGGTGATGGTATACCTTTTCCAATAATAGAAGCATTAATAAAATTGTACTTGTTGACATTTTTGGGTGAAATAAGTGAGGGGTAGAGCATTTAAAAAAGAAATGGTAGAATAGTGTGAATTACATTAATTCATTTTATTTCCATAAGTGCCTAACGTGAAGTTGTGGCTATCACATTTCTTGTAGTAAATTGTGTGTTCTATTTTGTATAAAAAATTATAATTTTAGCAATGAAAAGATTTTGGGGAAAAATTTACAAACTCTTTTAAGGCCATGAAGAGTAACAAGGAATTTTATCAAGCCAACACCAATTGTCTTGAAAAAACTTCAATTGTTTTACAAATTTCCAAACCTTTGTTGATGGCAAAATAAGCAATAACACACTATATGCATGGGCAATCTACACTTTGTTAATAGGTGAACTATCCTCTTCCTCCAATAATTGAGAAACTATTAAGGGTAAAAATAATATACAATTCTCAAAAATGAATTGAGATATTTACCATAATTCAGGGCGCAGGAAATCTTTGTATTTGCAATTTTTAATGAAATTTGAGGATTGAATTGCACTAATACAGGAGCTTGTACAAACTAGTTCCTGATGGATTATTGAAATTTAATTTGTAAGCATTTGTGGAAATAAAAACAATTGCTGTGAGAGTATGTTTCTTCAACAGCAGAAACAAAATTTTATTTGGTTTAAATATTCAGTATAGTAAAAAAGTGTAGAGCAGTGAACTCTTGGAAAATAAAGTGTATTCTGGTATTGAAATTTATTACACATTATTGTATGATGCTATTTGAATGTCTTATTATTTTTATTGCATTAGTGCAAACTATTGATGTTTCCAAGAGAACAACTC